TTGGAAAAAATTACAGAGCCTCTGATGATAATTTTCTTTCAAGAGGCTGACCAAAAGCATAGTTTTCTTGAGTTTCTGGTTGTCCAAACTTAAAGATTCCAATCTGACTCTGTCTCAAAAATCTCMTTGGAATGGAATCCTTCTTTGCAGAAGGTGAGAAAGAGTCAATGTAATCTTCAAAAGCAACATTTTCCATTGTTAAACAGGTTTTTGTGTCTGGAAAAGCCAACAGCCTTCTTCTTTTGAAAATGGACTTGGTATTAGAAATATTACTTTTAAGATTTTTAGAGGATCTAATGGTACTCTCAAGAGTTTTGTTGGATTTAACACCAGGTTTGTTATTAAATTCTGAGAAACCTAGACCTCTTCTGCCCATATTAACTTTTATCTTTTTGTAAACATTTTGAGBCTCTTGAAATTTTCTAATTTTGAGCTCTCTGTCAAGAACGTCTTGTTGCAAAAATTCTCTTTCCTTTTGGAAGAATTCTTTGACAGAAGTAACATTACACTTCTTATGCTCCAACTTCCTTAACTCATCCACCTTATTTTTTAAATCTTTTTGAACCTCGGCAAACTTTTTCCTTTGAAGAATTTTCCAAATTTATAAACTTTGTTTGAGCTTCTTCAAACATTTTGAAAAATATGTTTCTTTCCTCTGTGAGAAGAATGACTTCTTTTTCACAAAGAGAAAGTTTTTCTTTTAGCTTGAAATGCTCCAAATGACATGATTCGAGGTTATCGATGATCTCTGTGTATAGATCAAGTGATTCAATAGAGTAAGAAGTAGAAACCTCTTGGTCATTTCTTGCAGATGAGTCAGAGTCGATATTGGCCATCCCACAGAAGAGCTCATCCTCTGTGTCTGAGTCTTCCCAAGCGAGAAGACCCTTCTGTTCATCTTCATCAGAGGATTCATCAGTTACTAGCTCACTTGATTGAGCTAGTAGAGACTTCTGCTGGTAGTAATCAGCCTTGTTTTTGTAAAAGGCTGCATCTCTAGGACCCCTCTGTGGAGCCTTTGGCCCTTTTTGACCAGCAATCTGCAGCAAAGTGGCCTGGCTTGCCACATCGAAAGCATCCTTCCTTCGACTCTTCCTTCTTCTGCTCCTCTACCTTCTGTGAGGGCTTCTGCTCCTTCTCTCCTGCATCCAATCTTCCATCCTCTGTAAAGTTCCTTCTGCTGAAACTTTTGTACTCCTTCCTCTCACCACCCTTTCTGAATTCTCTGGTGATTAAAGCCAGGGTTTTCATCATCTTCTTCATTGAGACTTCTTCATCAGAACTTTCATCACTTTCTGCTATCAGTACCTTCTTCTTCTTCTTCTCCTTCTCTTCCTTCTGTGTTCCTTTCCCCTTCCCAGAACTGCCATCCTCTGCAACCAGAGCTAGTGGACCACCATAGTTCTTTTCATTTGCAGAACTTGAGGCTCTTGGCTTTTAAGAGAACCAAATAAGTCAGCCAGAGTCCACATWTCCAAATCTAAGGTGGCCTTCATGGACATGGTTAGGTGCATCCATTCAACTCCAAGGCTCTTCAAGAACARAGAGTTRTTGTCCTCTGCCATTCTCATTACTCCATACCTTTTGCAATTGCTAATTAGGGTGTTTAGTCTAGAGTATGTGTCCGACAGGGATTCACCCTCTTTTGCCTTGAAGTTGTGGTATTCGTCAATGCAAATTGCTCGATTGTTATTGAGTGTTTTCTTACCTCCTTCAATCTGTTTTTCTAATTCTGCCCAAATATCCATGGACAATTGACAGTGATCGATACATTTGAAGATTTCGTGAGGTATTGCCATAATTAACAGCCGTTTGCATTTGCACTACAAGGAAAAAGGACTTTAGAGAAGGAATTTTTAGAGAAGATTTTAGAAGTGTATCTAAAGATATATTTTAGAGAAGAAAATGAATGACAAAAGTGGAAAATGTAACTAAAGATAGAATGAGTTTTAGAAAAATATTTCAAGTTAAATCATACATTACCAAAATTGTTTCTAAAAGCTTTAGAATTTTTTTTTTAATAAAAAGCTTTTAAAAAATATAAGGAGGAGCTTTAGGTATCTTTTTTAAAATAAAAACCTTCTCTAAAGTTTTGTTTTAAATATTTATTAATTTTATTAGGAAAATAATACTTTTTTATAACCCATCGCTCCAATCTCTCGACTCTATCTCTCTCTCTCTCTCTCCCCATCGCCAACGTCGTTTGTCTACTGATTTCACCGTCGCTCTACCGATTTCGCCGTCGCCTTCATCAAATTCTCACCCTATTTCGCCATCGCCTCCGTCGATTTCTCAGCTGAGGTCCCATCATAGTGTCTCCATCATGATTTTTCTCAATTTGGTTTCGTTTATATACATAAATCTGGTATGTATTCTGCCCTAATCTGGTTCATCAACATCAAATCGATAGCAATTTCAAATATGAAAAAGGTAAAATGTACTGCAATTAAAATCTATAAAACAATGCTTCAATTATAATGACGATGAGATTGTATTGATCCGATTGATTTCTTAATTTGTTGTTGACAGAATAGTACATGTCTGATCATGTCGATGTGTTCGTGTCTTTCCTTACGGTAACTTATTTTGATCATTTCCTGGCAACCACAGAAGGTATCATCGACTCCTTTACCCTTGGTTTGTTGGAATTCCTTCTTATTTTGATCATTTCTTGCTGTGCCCTACATCACTATGGCCATCTTTTCCTCAATCACTAGACAATGCCACAGTGAGATGCTTATCAATTCTGATCAATATGATTGGCATGCTTCTTTCTGGCCCTTGTGTTAAGTCAGGCAGTAAATTTCTGCTCTACTGGGTTAGATTTAGCCATAATGCATCTATTTTAAGTACTATTAATTTTCACAAGTTTTCCATCTGCTTTAGCAAGCCCTATTGCATGTGAGTGATCACTAATACCAATATCCCCATTCATTCCACTTAAGATTTTGAGACAAAAAAATTAAATCCTCTCCCATTTTGATTCATTAAAGATTCTGCCTCCAGAACAATTACAAACACAAGAAAAATGTTAGATTACTGAAGAAATTTGGTCAGGAACCAGTAGAAAGCATACAAAATATGTTGAATTATATAGATTTCAAATAATTGATAGATATCTATCGTTGTTTAAAATTTTATAATCACAAGGCAACTTCATATTCATCAAGTTTAATCAGCTTTACTGTGGCAAAAAAAACAGCAGAGCACCATAATAAACTTGTTCAAAGGTTTTAAAGGGAGAAATGATGCTCCCAATTCAATTTGTTGCTTTTACAGCATTACAACATCTAGCCATCACATAAATTTGGGACAAGCTCACCAGACTACATGCAGAGTTCCTTCTGTTCTTATGAATATTTTCCTTTCTCTTAAGTACACATGCTTGTAATTGCTTTCCGGTCATGCAGGAAGCATGCACCCTTTATTTTTATAGAATTCTGTCATTTTACTGGCTAGAGTTTACTTGGGAACTTTGCAGTCTATAGTGTAGTCAAATGAGGCAAAAAGTTTAATACAAGTCCGATAAGAATCAGAAAAAGATACCTGAGGTCGTATAAGACGGTCCATCTCTAGCATGATATCTTCCAATGAGCAACCATCATGATGGTTTCCATAGTGAGAGAAGAGATAACTTGCATGCAGCAAATCATACGTGCRTGGATASGATGAGAATGGCTCACACYTATAAGTAGCAGAGTAAGATCAACATCATGGATAACTCACTCAAAACAAACAAGGTGATTAAGTAAAGTTTTGCTAATTCGACTCACCAGTCATGAAAAGCACCTATCAGACCCCGTTCATAAATAGCTGACAAGGTATTGTTCATTGTTGCAGGAACTACATTCATTACCCACACRRGCCAAGTACTAAAGGYAACCGCAAATCCACCGTAAAGAGCATTCATGTCCATAATATACTAACTGATGTATCATCAACATTCATCAGCCTCCAATAATGACGAACTTGATCTTGCCAATAAAGGGTATCTGCAAGAAACTTGTCTTGTGTGATACCTGCAGCCAACACATGGTTCATAAAATTGGCTGATGCCCAAGCTTTATTTTCTTGCTTATCCAGGAGTAGCTCAAAATTTCCATATATGAATCAGATTATTGGGTTTTTTAACATTAGTATCATAAGAACGCTATTTATGTAGTATAGACTTGTATCACAAACTACATACTCTCCCTCTCCAGCATATTCCTTTCTGAGAAATCTTGAATCAAGTATTAAACATTTATTTTAAAATAATATTCAGAGAATTAGTCCAATAATCAAAATTACTTTTGGATATAGCACTTGCCCATTCAAATCTCCCCCTCGTCATTACTCATAAGGCAGTCACCATTTTTGCTTTAGCTGGTCAGAAAGATTTCTTGCTTACTATGCATGAAATAGCAAGTGATAGGAATCCATCAAACTGATTGTTCTTTTTTCACTTTTCTATTATTTCTTTCATCCATTTCCCATTCATATCAAGGGAATCCGTTCTAACATATAGCCAGGAGTCATCAGATTTTGAACCGTTGTACTTGGAACTCTGTTTCTAAGCAACATACTTTCAAAGATGCAAAAAGAACACTCGAGTTTCACAGAAAATGATAAAATAGATGCTCGCCAAAATAGCAAAAAAGGTAAAATCTAGCAATCAACTTCAGGATGCTCCTGCGCCTAGTAAAGCTGACGAAGACAGCAAAATTCAGGCCTTAATTGATACACCAGCCTTGGATTGGCAGCAGTGAGATCTCCCTCTGAGTTTTATCCTCCTTTCTTCTGATTATTTGTTTTCATGTGGGAGATTTATGTTGGCTTCTTAACCTGCAGCCAAAATTTTGATGGCTTTGGCGCTGGTAGAGGCTTTGGGCGTGGCTTGTTTTTGGTAACTATCTTTTAGCTTTCTGTTTTCTTGTTATATAGCTGATTCAACCATTTAGTAGTCTCATTTTTCATTGTGAGGTGAGATGGTATGTTAATCTCAAAATTGACACATGAAGAAGACAATTTACTTGTTTTGCTCTATCAACTAAGAATTGTTGTAAAAGCAAATGAACATCTCTTGCTACGCTAAGGTGCAGGTTTATAATGTCTGGGTTATATTCATATTTATGTACCAATTGTGCTGTTGAAAACTGAATCCCACTTTTTAATATTTAGGTCGGGGTGGCGGCTTTGAGCAAAAAACACCACCTCCAGGCTATGTATGCCACAGATGCAAAAAACTGCTATACCATCGGCAGGCTACTCGAAACAAAACAGTACATGATAAGCACCATTTCTTCTTCGTGAGAGGATTTTGGTAAGATAACCGCAAGTTATATTTATAATATAATGTCATTCTTGTTCTTATCCTTAACAAATTTTGTGTCATTCTTGTATTTTTTTTATAGATAAATTTTGATGTCGACTTGTCTTCGAAGATTGTGGTTGATGTGATTGACCTCCAAATAGGTCGATCTTTCAAAAATCAAATTTTAATGTATAATGTATTTATTTTATAAATAAATTTTAATGATCTTTCAAAAATCAAATTTTATAGAACGACTTGTGTTAGAAAATTTGGCAAAACTTTTGGACGTTCTTTACTCAAATTTTAGTGTATAATGTTTATGTTAGGTTGTTGACGGAAAGCTTTCCCAAACTTGTTATCTCATGGGACTTGAGTCTTGCTACAAGGGATATTGTCGAAAGTAAGTTGCTATCAGTATATCAGCTCCAACTCCTGTCATGATGACAAATTATGTTACAAGCTGTCTTTAACACAATCTTGCCCATTATAGGTACGAGAAATTCGAAGGCAAACAATTTTCAATTGCTGATGCTGACTATTTTGTATTTCGTTCTCCTTTTAACAAGGTAATTGATCTAAAAGAAGCATACTTGTTTCCTTTCTTGATACTCATTATAGTAGTTCAAACTTTTCTGTGGAATTGTGCAGCTTGTACAGAAGAGCTTTGCTCGATTAGTGTTCAGTGATGTCGTTAGAAACGCCAGGTGATTATTTCATGATACACATTATAAATTTCATGAGCCGAGAATTGATGAGTTTGTTCCTATGCATCTGTTTACAGGCATCTCAGCAAGTGGCTAAGCCCCATTACAATAAGAAGGTTCGACCTAGAACTTTGATCAACAAGCAAGTCGGCAACATGTATACTGCTTCTATATATGCGGCCTTTGCTTCCCTCATTCATAATAAGAATAGCTCTCTGGTCAATTGTATCCTTCCAAGTTTTTCATCTTCATTAACTATTCAAGACCAACGTTCGGAGACTCAAGATCGTTAAACATGCTATGATGATTTTGGATGTATTTTTGTTGATAAATTTAGAAGATATATGAAATAGTTGAATATTAAATTTGGATGGTTCTTATATATATTGAATTGTCTTGAGATTATTATTAATTTGTTCATGATTAATTTAATATTGTCTATTAGTTTAATTTTATTATTATATATATATATATATATATATATATATATATATATATATGCAGCTGAATTATGGATGAAATAAATATATAATATATTTTTTAGAGAAGGAATTGATATTTTAAAAGTGTAACTAAATATAATTTTTAAAGAATATTTTGAGTTTGTGTATCTAAATATCATATTTAGAGAAGATTTTGTAAGCGTAACTAACGAGGACTTTTAGATAAGGTTTTTTAAAAGTGTCACTAAAACCAATATCTTTAGAGAAGCTTTTCCATTATCTTCTCTAAAAGTATCTTTTAGTAACTCTTATAAACCGTCACAAATACTTGAAAAGTGTCACTAATATATATACTTTTAGAGAAGCTTTGAATAAAAAGTTGACTAATTTTTAGAGAAGTTTTGAAAGTGTATCTAAAGCCTCAAATAAGCGTCTCTAAAGGCTAACAAAAACACACCCTTCGAAAACCTTCTCTAAAACCTTTACCTACCGTCACACAGAGAAGCTCTTTAACAAAATTGAAAAACTTATCTAAAGGCTTTAGAGAAGCTTTTAAGACTTTTAAGTACAAAACAATACCTTCTTTGAAGGTCATTTTTCTTGTAGTGTTGCTACTCAAATCAACCAGTATTTTGTCTTCATCACTCCAGTTAGCAACAGGTCTTGGCTCGTAATGTTCARCAATTTTAGGGGTTGTGCCAGTAGCAGGAACTCTTGGAAGTAAGTTCATTGGCACATAAGGAGGATTGTAAAGAAATTCACATATCCTTGGGTGAATTCCTTCCAAAAAATTTATCATTCGCACCTTCCATTGCGGATACTCCTCACGAATAAGCGTGGGAGGTTTTGATTGAGAATCAGTGCTCATGAATGAAGTATTGGCCAGATTCGCCATTGAAATTAGAAGGAGAAAAACAGGAATAAGATGAAACAGATTTAATCGAGTGAAACAGGGTAAAATGAAGAAAACTGGTGTTCTATAAAATGCAGATTAATACCAAAAATAGAATTAATCGAATGAGAATTCGATTCCTGCTCTGATACCAATTGTTATGACCTATAAATTCAGATTTGGTATTTGATCTCTTACTCTTGATGATCTTTAGGACGATTACAGTACAGCGGAAACAATGATAAGAACACAACAGAGTAATTAATCAAGAACACACAGATTGATATGAAGAAGATGAACGCAATAGAATAGCTTCAAAGGTTTTTCAATTGATTGAAAATAAGACGATTACAATACGGAAGCACACTGAATTACAAAGGCCTAAGCTGCTATTTATACTAGTTCCTAACGACCTTTCTGATATGACCTAGACGTATGAAATCATCCAAGCCGTCCAAATAAAGTCGAATAAAGACCTAGTCATGTGAAAAGCACGTGCAACTAATAACCTTTGAAAAACAGCAGAACAAGATCTTCGTAGAAGACGAATCCGCAGACCCTCTGTTAGCCAGCTCAGAGGCTCTGTTGTAGAAGACTTGTAAGTTCTTATTGCCAGAGGACCATTTTCCAGAACCTCTGTGAGAGACAACAGAGGTTCTGTCATTCTTCACTTGCACGATCAAACAGCTTCTGTTGATGGTCCTCTGTTGTCTTCTGTGGAAGATACCCTTCTGTCAACACTTGCAAAATACTTTTTCATACTTTTACATTAAGTAAATATTGGAGCTAACAAAAAATTATAACCGAATAGAGAGAAATAATGAGAGTTAAAAGAGTACTTACTAGAGAGAACATGAATAGGATGAAACAACCTAATTAAAGGATCTTAAATGTGAATATGAAACATAAAAAACAAATACTAAAGTAGGAGAAGCATGAGAAAAGGAGTAAAAAGATAAATCATTTTCTTGTTTTGAGAAGAGGTCACATCATTGCATGTGGTTTCTTCTTTAATATATATAGACTAGTTGTTATAACCCGGTTTCGCATAACTTGGGTTGAGGTAATTTATGTGCTATTATGTGGATTACATAATATTGTGTATGTGTATATGTGCAAAGATGACATGACACATATATGATTTATACATGTATGCATGTGGTGTGAAACATGCATAAGGTGGTGTATAATTGTGATAAATTATTTGGGTGGACATTATTTTATTATTTAAAAGCTTATATCTTCATGGGAAACCATGAATTTTTATAATGCAAAATCCACCGCCCAAAGTATTTTCTATTGGACAAAAGCTTTCACCGCCTTTGAAGTTTTATTATTATAATCCTCCACCGCCTAGGTGATGATATTTAAAAGAAGAGTTTGATAAGGTTATCCTTATCACTGTCACTCTTTTAGAAAAGAACCTGTGTGTGTGAGCTAAGGTGTTCTTCAAGATTCTGTGTTAAGAATAAGCTATTGCTGTGTGTTTATCATCAAGAAATCTGTTTGATAAGGTGAGTTTTAAACTACTGTTGAATATAAACTGTGAGTTTTCTTTTAAAACTACCTTTGCTTATATACTATGAGTTTTATTGTTGATTATATGCTATGCGTTTTGATGTTGGTTTTGAAGAAAAGATGGTAAAACTATTTTGATAGTTTTAAAGGTGTTACTGTTATTGTTGGTAAAATAAAGAAGAGTTTGCTTCTTTAAATCAGTTTTGGAAATGATATCCTGTTTTGAGGATTTAAAAGAAACCTTGATGTTTTSGAAATCTTTGAAAGACAAGGTGGTTCTTGAGTTTGAAAAGGTTTTTATGGATAAAACTATGAATGAGGATTCGATAAGATGGTTGTGACTGCGGTCCTCATCCGAGCTAGTTCATAGATTTTAAAGAAGAAATAAGGGTGGCATATCAAGGAGAGGTGTCTTTTGGAATAAGGGTGGCATATCAAGGAGAGGTGTCTTTTGGAATAAGGGTGGCATATCAAGGAGGGGTGTACCTTTAGATATAAGGGTGGCATATCAAGGAGGGGTGTACCTTTAGATATAAGGGTGGCAATTGTATGTGAATATTATAGCTCTTGCTATTATGTCTTTTATGACTACAATAGATTTGAGTCCTTACGTCTTTGTGATTTGAGAACTCAAATATATTGTTCTGATTAGAAATAATGGTATTGATGGTATTAGAAGGGGAAAACTTGGCCTATGGCCATTAGTATTGGTTAAAAGTGTTTTTAAACAGAATGGCTATTATCATGAGGAATTAGAGGGGCTCTGGTTGTTTCTTGTAAGGAACCAGAGGAGCTCTGGTTGGCTCTCATCGTTGGACCAGAGGATTTTAGTTGTTGATTTAAAGGACAAGCAAGGTTTTACTAAATGTTTTATTTGGATTAAAGGTTTTGTATCTTTTGATAAGAGTTTCTATGTCAAAATCATGTTTTTGAAGTTTTAAGAAAAGGAGTTTTATACTTAGTCTTTTTATGAAAAACAGAACCAGAGAAGCTTTGATTAAGTGTTGAACCAGAGGGGCTCTGGTTGGTCATGTCTTTGGAACCAGAAGCTCTGGTTAGTACAACCAGAGCCTCTGGTTGAACATGAAGTTTTTATAAATTACTCGATTTATGAAAAAGGTTATCTTATTGATTGAGAGTTTATCTAAATGTCGAATTATATTCCATGTCTGGTTAGTGAAACCAGCGGCTCTAGTTATAAAGAGCAGAAGCTCTGGTAGAGAGACCAGAGGGGTTCTGGTCCTGTGTCGAAATATTCTCTAAGTCTGGATAGTTAAACCAGAGGCTCTGGTCGAGGAACCAGAAGCTCTGGAAGTGAGACCAGAGGGGCTCTGGTCAAGAATGTTCAAAATATTTTCTAAGTGTTGTTTGAGACCAGAGGCCCGATGGACCAAAGCAACATGTTTTCAGTTTTGCTTCATAAGATGTTTGATTTGAAATAAATGTTTTGGTAATCTTCACCCTGCATTACATAGAAGGGAATCTCACTAGACATTCATGTCTAACCCTCATTTTCGTGTTTCCAAAATTATGTGTGCAGGTAATGATAAGGAAAAGAGTATTGTGTGAATTACTTCCCTATATGCTTAGTTGTTTTTGGAAGCATAGATGATAGGATGCAAGAGCTTGTACTTTTGGAATTTTTGAGCTGTGTATTTTATAAACTCTTGTGTCGAGGACCTATGTGGGGAAAACATGTATTCTATATATGAAATATGTGTTGTATGCAATGTGTGGATTTCGGGTGTATCAGAGTTGGTATCAGAGCCTGAGTTTAAGGGAGTTAGGTATTCACATGCATGATACCTAGACATAAACTATTTCATTGCATATTAGGGTCACAGACATAGTTAGCACCTTTCGAATAAATGTAATAAGTTAAGAGGTCAGTGTGTAAGGCTTTTTCGGATTACATCTGGCCAATGTAATTTTGAATCTACRGGTACATAACTGAACTTGGACACTTTATTATATTTGGGAATATGAGAAATATGTGTTTTAACTTTGTTATCTACAGACGGCTAGTAGATCAAGAAGGTCAGAAAGGATCACCCGCCCCAATGAAGAAGAATCCCCTGTTGCTCCTATTGGCACCTCTGAGGGCAGAAGTAGAGGCAGAGGTAGAGGCAGAGGTAGAGGGCAGACCAGAGGCAGAATAAGTCAGCCAGAAATCAATAT